TGAGAGCTAGGGTGGCTGGGTGGAGTAGGCAGGGGGAAGACAGGTGAGGCAGGGAGGCTGGTGGGATAGATCCCTGGGGCCCGGGCAGCCACAGCGAGGCCCGGGCATTGATGTTCTAAGTGTGGAGTGACAGGATGTGACATCTGGCAAGGAGGAGAGGTCGGATTTTATCTGAGATGAGCTACAGCTGTGCCCTGCACTGTACAGCCTGACCTGTGGAATCCTCATCTCTACTTGAGTAAGGACCATCTGATGCTCATTTTACAGACAAGCCATGGAGGTCTTGTTCAAGGTCAAATGCCCTGTCTGCACCTGCAGAGCCAGGCTTGATTCCTCCCTCATACCCATTTGACAGGCAGGAGAGTCAAGGCTTGCACAGCCTTAGAGACTGGGTTGCCACAGCCCCTGGGCTCTCCTGTGCCAGCCATGTCCACTCTCATTGTCGCCATTAGATAATGAGTGTGTCCCTCCAGAGCCGTGAGCCCCAGGAGGGCAGGGCCCGGGACTTCCCAGAAACAAGCAAGGGCAGAACCAGGCAGCCCAGATCTGACCGACCCTCCCTGGAATGCCAGTGCCTTCGAGGACTCCTTCAGGCCTACTGGCTGTGGTCCAGAGGCTGCCTGGCCAGCATTCCTGCCGGGGAAGCTGTTACTCGAGTGGTACAGGGAGGGGAGCATGGAGTCTCAGGGCCTGACACCCGGCTCTGCAGATCTCTAACACAAGGCCACAGGCAAACAGCCCCCTCTTTCTGAGCTCTGCCTCACTGGATGGCTGTGAGGGTTTTATGAACTCATGTAAGAAAACTGGCTGCAGCAAATGAAGCCATCAGAAGTGAGTGCATGAATGACTAAAGGGAGGAAGTGAAGGGAATAAGAGGAAATGGGAGGGGCCTGTACTCCAGGGTTCGATCCACATGCCATAACCTGGCCCTATTCTACGCGCTTTACCAACAGGAGCATACTTAAGCTTCAAGACATTCCCCATTTTAGATGTGAGGAAACAGAGGCACAGAGAGGTTAAGTCATTTGTCCAGGCATCACTGAGCAGGTAGAGGAAGACACAGGGTTTGAACTCAGGCAGCCTGAGCTCTCAACCATGACCTGCTTCCTCTGCACGAGCTCTTAAACTTGGAGTCTCTTAGGGGTTAAGCATAAGCTCCCACCCCCACCTTTTTCCACAAGCGGGGCACTGAGGCCCAGAGAGAGGGGAAGAGAGTTGAGACACGTCCTTTGGAATCAGACCTGAGATGGGGACCAGGCTCTGCCCCCAAGACTTCTGGAATAGACCTCAACTTACAGAGCAACCAGCCACAGTTGAGTGGACAGTCCTCTGATCCCGGGACCTCTCTTCTCCTCAACAGGGCCAGGATGCCTCTGAGAGGAACCTGAACTTGGGAGCCAAGCACGTGTAGAGGAAGGGGATATCCGGGCCCTGCTGCTCACACACTCTGACCTTGGGCAAGTGGTTTTGCTTCTCTGAGCCTTGCTTCCTTTATAAAACAAACAGGGCCACTCCCAGCCATCACCCAGCCCCTGGGGAGGATTAAACCCCATGGCTTACCTGGCTACCACAAGGCTCAATTAAGGTGAGCTGTAATTATTCTTTTTATTGTTATTCCCAAAGCCCTGGAGCCTGGGGCTCTGTGCCTGCTACTGCCTGCCAGACGGGAGGGGCCTGGGCCAGCAGGGCCGTTCTCCTCCACCAGCTCAGTGCCAGGTCCCTCTGGCTGCTGCCCAGCCCCAGGACTCCTGAGAGCCTGGATCCCAGGTCCTGGGGGGCAACGGGCTCCTCCCAGCGGCTGCTGTGGCCCAGAATTCTGACCTGACCTCAGCAGCAACCCCCATGCAGGCTGCTCCCATCCCAGGGAAGTCTACCTTCCACTCCTTCACCCAGCTGACACTGAGCCTCGACCTGGACTCAACCCCCAAAGCTCAGCAGTCATTTCACTTCTTCAGCCAAGTCAGCCTCCTGAGCATCTCTCAGATCCAGCCACTCCCTTCTCACCCTCCAGTCCCACCCAGCCCTGGCCTGGCCTCTCCTGCCCAGGCTCCGGCCTCAGCCTCCACCTGACCTCGCAGCCTCTCGTCCTGCCCCTCCAGAGGAGTGTTCCTAAAGCACAAACCTTCTTTTCCCTACTCAGAAACTCCCAGGGCTCCCCCAGAAGCCCCACCCCCACCCCAGAAAGCCCTGACTCCTCCCTATGGCTCTTCTCTTCACAATCTGCTCCCTGCAGCCTCATCATAACCTCCTCCAGCCCCTACACTGCAGCCCCACTCACGGCCTCCATGCCAAGCTCCGACTGCCTTTGGGACTTTGCCACCTTTTTTTTTTTTTCCTGCCTGGAGTACCGTCCACCCTCTCTCCAGGCAGCCACTCTCAATTCCTCTCTGAAACACTTCTTGAAGCTATTTCTGTCCCACCAGCCGGGTTGGCGATCACCACCCCTCACCTGTCCACCAATCTAGTCTCCTTCCTGTCTTACCCTGGCATCCAGTATCCGCATGGCAGCCAGGGATCTTTTCTGAACGCTAATTGAACCATGGCATCCACCACCCTCAGGACAACACCCATGCTTCCCACTCTGTCTTTCAAGGCTCTGCCTCTGGCCTCATCTCTCACTGGCCCTAACTCCCTCTCACTGCTGCCACCAGATCAAACTTCTCCACACTTTGCCTGGCTCTCTTCCAGGGCTCTATATCCTTTCCACTCCCCTCACTCTTCCCACCCGCTTCCCCCTCCTGCCCCGCCTTCTCCAGGGTTTTGCTGCTGCAAGTCTCCCCTCTCTCATGCAGAATCAGTTCTCCATCTCTACCAGACTCTCTTCCATTTCTACAAAAAGCCCATCTTCCCCTGACACTGCATGTTCTCTTCTTTCCACCACCCCCCCATTTCTCCACTCCCCTTCAGAACCAAAATACTCCAAACACTTGTTAACATTTGCTGTCTGCACTTCCTCCCCTCCCATTCACTCTTCAGCGCCCTCCTGGCTGCCACCACCCCCATCATTCCCCAACAACTGCTCCTGTCAACATCACCACCAGCATCCACAGACTGAAAGCCAATGGCCAGTGCTTGCCTTGGCAGCATCTGACCCAGGGCACCAGCTCTTTCTTCTAGAAGCACTCTCTTTTCTCAGCCTTCCTGACACCTTTCCTGGCTTCCTTTCCACCTCACTAAGTGCTCCTCCTTAGCCTTCCCCTTTTCTGCTTGGGTTCTGTCCTAAGTGCCCCTGCTAGACCCTCTTCCTAGATGATCTCATCCATTCCCAACCATAGTTTGATCATGCCCAAATTCTTCTCCAGCCCAGACTGGCCCATCTCCTTACTCAATGTGTCCTCTTATAGGGCCGGGCACGGGAGCTCACGCCTGTAATCCCAGCACTTTGGGAGGCCGAGGCAGGCAAATCACCTGAGGTCAGGAGTTCAAGACCAGCCTGGCCAACATGGTGAAACCCTGTATCTACTAAAAATACAAAATTTAGCCGGGCGTGGTGGTGTGCATCTACAATCCCAGCTACTAGGGAGCCTGAGGCAGAAGAATCACTTGAACCTGAAAGGCAGAGGTTGCAGTGAGCCGAGATGGTGTCATTGCACTCCAGCCTGGGCAACAAAGGTGAAACGTCTCAAAAAAAAAAAAAAAAAAAAAATCCAAACTAGTCTTTGCAATGACTCAGGAGACCCTGCATGATCTAGCCTCTATCCTAATCTCATCTTGTTAACAGTCTCCCCGTAACTAGCCAAAGCTCCAGCCATGCCAGAGTCCTTTCATTCCCCACCCCAGGGCCTTTGCACAGTCCGCTTTACCCTGAACATCCTCCCCAGTTCTCCCTCTGTGAGTTTCAGCTTAAATGCCTCCTGCTCAGAAAGGCTTTCCCCCACCCCCTATCTAGTAGCCTCCAACCCTTATTCCCTACCTCAACACCCTGTTGGTTTGCTTTCAAAGCACTCATCACAATTTAAGTATTTTACTTATTTAAATGTTTTTTTCATGTCTGATTCACCTGCAAAATTGCAAGCTAAGGACAGGGCCACATCCATCTCATTCACTGCTATATCCCCAGAGTCAAGCACAGTCCTTGGCACATAACAGGTACTCAATAAACATTTGTTGAGTTAATGAATGAATGGGTGCCCCACACCTGACTCCTTCTTAATATTCTAAGTGATACTATTCTTGGGGATCCCCAGCCCTACTCCCAAGGCCCCCACCATCACATTCCTTTTCCTTGGGTCACCCCAAATCTCCTACTTCCTTGCTCCCTCCATTTAATGATTCATTCCCCACCCCCACGATTGCCTTCTCTATTGGGACTGTCCCTCCTCTACCCACTACTTGGCGGCACCCACCCTAGGGGTCCCCATTCGGTAGCGCCATCATTCACTCTCCCACCACATGTCACTGCCTGGTAGCGCCCTCTACAGGCCTCACGTTTGGTAGCGCCCTCATTTCGGTCCCCCTCTCACCCCACACTTGGTGGCGCCCTCCTCAGTCCCCCCACTGAGTAGCACCCGCTCCGCACGCCACTCCTAGGTATCACTCTGCGAAGCCCCCTATGCCGCTCCTTGATAACGCCATCCCAGGCCTCCCCACGCCCGGTCACTTGGTAGTGCCTGCCCCGCGCCCAGGCTGCCGCTCCGCGTTGCCATGGTTCCGCGCGGGCCCGGCACCCCTCGGCCGCTGTCCACTCTCCCTGCCTGGCGGGCGCACCTTTGAAGTAGTCATTGGCCTGTGTCTTGAGCTCCTCTGCCCGCTTCAGAGCGCCATCAGCCGGGGGTTCATCCCGGGGGGGCTCAGCACACTCAGTCCGCTCGCCCTCCGCCATCGCCATGCCGCAAAGCGACCCCCACCCTGGCAACGGCCGCCAGCGGCACCCGGCCGAACCGTCGCGAAGGAGCGCCGGGTGGCCGCTGCCGCTGCCGCACAAGTGTCGTAAAGCGCGGGCCCTGAAGGCGCCCTTCACGCGCCTGCGCAGGTCCCTCTCGCCATAGAGCGCGCGGAGGACAAGGTGACCAGAGGGTACCCAGACCGTACCCCTAGTAGGAGCCAATAGCGAATGAGAGAAGGGGCGCGCGGGGAAACAGACCCGAGTGGCCTCTGCTCCCAAAGTTACCGTGTTCCAAGGCTGTAAAAAGTTTCTCGATTCTTAAAGTGGGATTTCCCCGCTGTCCTCTAGGGTTGGGGGGTGGGTTGTGAATGTCGCTGGCGGGTGTGGCTGCTTTGCAAGGCAGTGCCATGCCCAAGGGGAAGCGGGCCCCGGGCGTCGAGCCCTATTGTCAATTACCTGTGTGACCTTGGACAAATCTTCCCCTTCTCTCTAGGGCCTCAGTTACCCATCTGAAAAATGGGTGGTTTCTCAAGCCAAAACAGATCCAACCTAGAGGGTCAGCGTTTTCGAGTTTTTAACTGAAAGCACTCTGGATTTCAAGTCCTGAGCAAGGACCATAAGTGTGTTGCAGCATCTCCTTTCTCCCTGTGTTCAGCTTCCCAAATCCTGCATTGGCAAACTCTCCTGTTTGTCTTTTCCCATATTCTCTTGTCTGAGATCACAGCATTGATTGCATGCACTCTGCCTCTGTCGTTTACTCTTCACATGGCAGCTAGAGGTTCCCCCCCACCCTACATCACCCCCGACAGAGTCTCACGCTCTGTCGCCCAGGCTGGACTGCTGTGGCATGACCTCGGCTCACTGCAACCTCTGTCTCCCGGGTTCAAGTGATTCTCCTGCCTCAGCCTCCCAAGTAGCTGCTATTACAAGGCGCCTGCCACCATGCCCGGCTAATTTTTGTATTTTACTACATGTTGGCTAGGCTGGTCTGGAATTCCGGACCTCAAGCTATCCGCCTGCCTCAGCCTCCCAAAGTGCTAGGATTACAGGTGTGAGCTACCACGACCGGTGGAGGGATATTTCTAAGACATAAGACCATGATATACCCTCGCTCCCAGCCTTCCACGGCGCTAGTACCCTTAGGAGAAAACCCAAACTCCTGATTAGAAGACCCTGAATAGTCTAACCTCAGGCAGCATCTCCAGATTCCACCCCTTCCGCAACCTCCAAACACCACACACCCTTCCTGTCCGTCCTTCCCAAGCCCTCTTGTAGCGCTAAGTCCTGTAAGGCTATACTCTGGCTCCCCTCCTGGAAGCACAAGGTATTCCACTCCCAAATCTCTTGTTAGTCTAACTCCATCTCTCCCACTGGCCCTAAGCACAACAATCACCCGAAAGGGTAGATATTAGCATCATCTCCATTTTACAGATGAAGTCACAGACTTTCAGAGGTCAACGCATTTGACCAAGGTCACAACAACATAAGAAGGTGACAGAGCCAGGATCAGGAATCCCAGCTAATTCCTGTGTCCTTAATTCCCACTTTTTTTTTTTTTTTTTTTTTTNTTTTTTTTTTTTGAGATGGAGTCTTACTTTGTCGCCAGGCTGCAGTGCACTGGCACGATGTCAGCTCACTGCAACCTCCGCCTCCTGGGTTCAAGGTTCTCCTGCCTCAGCCTCCCGAGTAGCTGGGACTACAGGCACACGCCACCACGCCCGGCTAATTTTTGTATTTTTAGTAGAGATGAGGTTTCACCATGTTGGACAGGATGGTCTTGATCTCTTGACTTTGTGATCCTCCCTCCTCAGCCTCCCAAAGTGCTGGGATTATAGGCGTGAGCCACTGCACCCAGCCCCCTTACTTCCCACTCTACTGCCTCTGTATGTGCCAGAGCCTATCTTGGTGGGCTAGTAAATTTTTGTTTTGTTGGGTTTGTTTTGTTTGTTTTTGGGTTGGGGGAAAAGGAGGCTGCCATAAAGGATTTGAATTCTGGGTTTGACCAGCTAAATCCTTTCCTGACTGTGTGACCTTGGGCAAGTGATCACCTCTTCTGAGCCTCAGTTTCAACCTCTATGAAGTGGGGATAATAATTATGCCCATGATATAGGATTAGAGGGGAGTTTGATAACATGAGTACAGCATTTGCCAGACAGCCTGACACAGAGCAGGACTTTTATATTCACTCTGTTACAAACGCTCAAAGTGGGCTGGCCGCAGTGGCTCACGTCTATAATTGCAGCACTTGGGAAGACGAGGTAGGCAGATCCCTTGAGGTCAGGAGTTCAAGACCAGCCTGGCCAACATGGCAAAACCCCGTCTCTACCAAAAACACAAAATATTAGCTGGGCACGATGGTGTGTGCCTAAAGTCCCAGTTACTAGGGAGGTTAAAGCAGGAGAATTGCTTGAACCCGGGAGGCAGAGGTTGCAGTGAGCCGAGATCGTGCCACTGCACTCCAGCCTGAGCTACAGAGTGAGACTCCACCTCAAAAAACAACAAACAAACAAATAAACCAAACAAATACTCAGAGTCAGGCAGAGTACCTAGTGCTGTGATGGGACTTCCAAAGAGGGTTTTAGGGGGACTTTATCCAACTGGGGCAGGGAGGGAAGGCTTCCTGGAGTAGCTGGTACCTGAACCAAGATGTGAAATACAAGTAGGAGATAACCAAGTGAGGGGAGAGGGGAAGGGAGAGAGGCATGTAAGGCAGAAGGAACAGGAAGTGCAAAGGCTTGAGAGTGGTTTTCTTCCTTAAAGAAATTCCTATGTGCAATCCTTTGGGGGGGGGTATGAAAGTGACGCACATGACAACAGACACACCCACCTGCACATGAATCTAGGGACACACACATGTTCACTTAACTGTGGGGAATCACGTCACACAGACTCATATTTGTACCCAGAATTTCAGCATCGAAGAGTCTCACACATGTATAGAGAATCACATCATACAGACATATGCAGGTACAAAAAAAAAAAAAAAAAAAAAAAAAAAAAAAAAAAAAAAAAAAAAAAAAAAAAAAAAAAAAAAAAAAAAAAAAAAAAATCATAGCACCTTCCACACTCAGAAGAAGAGAAACCCAAAGTAACCAGAAACACGTAGAAGGCAGAATCATTTCACCCAGATACTAATATGCATGTGTAGAAGGAATCACAACCCCCTGCAACACAGGTTCACAGAATGTCATAGAGACCCACACACATACACAGAATAACAATGTGGGTACACAAATGCATGCACACACACACACACACACACACACACATACACACACACACAGAATCAGAAAGTAGCACGGGGCTGGCGTGGTGGCTCAAGCCTATAATCCTAGAACTTTGGGAGGCTGAGGCAGGGGGATCGCTTGAGCCCAGGAGTTTGAGACCAGTCTGGGCAACATGGCAAGGTTCCATCTCTACAAAAAATGAAAATAATTAGCTGGGCCTGGTGGCATCTGCCTGTAGTCCCAGCTACCGGGAAGGATGAGATGGGAGGATTGTTTGATCCCAGGAGGCTGCAGAGAGTCGTGATTGTACCACTGCACTCCAGCCTGGGGGAGATAGTGAGACGCTGTCTCCAAAGAAAGAAAGGGCTGGACACAGTTGCTTATGCCTGCAATCCCAGTACTTTGGGAGGCTGAGACAGGCAGATCACCTGAAGTCAGGAGTTCGAGACCAGCCTGACCAACGTGGTGAAACCCTGTCTCTACCAAAACTACAAAAATTAGCTGGGAATACTGGCACATGTCCGTAATTCCAGCTACTCAGAAGGCTGAGGCAAGAGAATCGCTTGAACCTGGGTGGCAGAGGTTGCAGGGAGCTGAGATTGTGCCACTGCACTCCAGCCTGGGCAACAGAGGGAGACTCCATCTCAAAAAGGAAAAAAAAGAAAAAGAAAGAAAGAGAGTAACATGGACACCCAGCCACTCAGTGTACCCACACTCCCAGAGGAGATCGAAAAGATGAGTCAATACACAGAGCTCTGGTGCCTACCAAGGTGAGGTCTTTATGGTGGTATAGAGACTGGTGAGTTTCAGAGCCAGTGTGGCTGGTCCAGTCCCTAGCCCAGCACAATTCCCTCCATTTAGGGCCCACATCACCTCCTGCGGGAGGGAGGGAGGTGTCAGACCCCCCCAATAGCACCAATCTAGACAGGCCACCCCCTGACAAAACAGAGCAAGCAGTGCCTTCCAAAAAGGGGGTAAATGGGGCTAAGAGGGGGATGCCTTTTCCTGTGGGAGACCAAGAACAGCACCATTTTTAGAAAGAAAGCTGTGGGGTAAGAGGAGCACACAGATGGTGGCAGAGAGCTGAGGGGTCCTGGCCTCTCCCTGCAGCCCGAAATATGCAGGCAGCGCTGTGCCTGTGTGTGCCTATGCAGCTGGAGAAGTCTTTGGATTGCAAGCCTCCCAAAGGGCGAGGGAGCCCCAAGTGCCCCAAACATGTGGGGTAAAGTCAAGGTAAGTGCATGTCTGGAGGGCTGAGGTGGGAAGTGGAGGGAGTTCTAGGACACAGAAATTGTAGGCAATGAGAATGGAGAGGCGTGAAGTCCAGGAGCAGCGCAGCTAGAGGGTAGGGGCCTGGAATGGGAAGACTTAAGACTGAAGGTTCAAACTGGAGTAAGCTCAGTGGGGTGGGAAGCTCAGAATATATTTAGGAGGGTGGGGTCTGGAATTAGGGAGTTGCGGTTATAAGATTCAGAACCAGAGGAATCTGTAGGGCAAAGTCTTGATTCCAGAATCAGAAGCATTTGGAGGCTGAATTATAGAACCAGAGGAATTTGGATCTGAAATCAAAGGCAGTTGGAAGCTGTGAGGCTTAAAAGCAGAGGAATTTATAGAATAAGGACTAGAATTAGAAAAAGCCTGGCTGTGCTCAGTGGTTCATGCCTGTAGTCCCAGCACTTTGGTGAGGCCAAGGAGGGAGAACTGCTTGAGCACAGGAGTTCGAGACCAGCCTGGGCAACATGGTGAAACCCCATCTCTTTATTTTTTTAAATAAAAAAAGCCTAAAGTCTGAGATCTAGAACCACAGAGATTCGGAAGCCGTAAGATCTGAATTAGGAGTTGAGGGTTGTAATATCTAAAACCAGGGAAATATATAAGGCAAAGTCTGCTTTTAGAAGATATTGAAGGCTGAATTCTAGACCCCGGGTAATTTGGAGTCACATCTTGAGTAAAGAGGAGTCTAGAAATTATGACGTCTAGAGCCAAGGGAAATTACGGGATGAGGTCTAGTGTCAGAAGACACTTGTAAGTCAGTTCTAGAACCAGAGAAAATAGCAGATCACCAGATGCTGAATCAGAGGACCACGGAGGCAGCAAGGTCTAGAAGTTGTACAGTCCAGAACTAGTGAGTGGAGCAGGTCATGAGGTTCAGAATCTAGGAGAACTAGAGCATGATCTGGTTCTAGAACTGGTTATTACAAGATCAAGACAGGACCGGGTGCAGTGGCTCAAGCCTGTAATCCCAGTACTTTGGGAGGCCAAGGCAGGTGGATCACTTGCGGTCAGGAATTCAAGACCAGCCTGGACAACAAGTGAAATACTGTCTCGACTAAAAATACAAAAATTAGTTAGGCGTGGTGGTATGCATCTGTAGTCCTGGCTATTTGGGAGGCTGAGGCAGGAGAATTACTTGAACCCAGGAGGTGGAGGCTGCAATCACACCACTGTACTCCAGCCTAGGTGACAGAGCAAGATTCCATCTCAAAAAAAAAAAAAAAAAAGAAGAAGAAGGTGAGGTCTAAACCAGACCATGCTGAAGGTTGTGTGGTCTAGAACCAGTGTAGGTCAGAGGTTATAGAGTCCGGAGCGGGAGCACATTGCAGGTTGCATAGTTTGGAAGCAGAGGAAGTGGGAGAACCATGAATGAAGTCAGTGTCCAGGCAAAACTGGGGGCAGCAGGAAGCCCAGAACGGAAGGGGCAGGCAGAGCAGACAGGCAGCATGGGGGGCTTTGGCCTCAATGGGAAGTCGCTGGGGGTAAGGTCTGGCCCAGAGCCTCCCCCCACTGACACCTGAGGAGGGGGGAAAGATCAGAGTCCCACATTCTTACAGACCCCAGGCAATTCATTGTGATTAAAAACCATATTATGAAATAGACAAAAATAAAAATAATAATACAAGAAGGACAGAAGGAAACGTGATCACGGTGACCTGTGGATCATCGTTCTCTCCAGAACGCGGAAACACAGACACGACCCCCTAACCCTCCCCACCCCTAATTCCCCAAAATAAAGCCAAGAGAGGCAGAGAAAGGGATAATGAGGTAACCAAGTATTGAGAACCCCAAGAGAAATCCTGAGAGGAGGAGGAGGAGGCAGGGACCCCCTCCCAGAGGTCACTGAGCTGAGACCACCCCAAAGAGTCCCCACATTGGGAGCAGGCAGAGGGGTGAGGGCTGAGGTAGGCCCGAGGTGGGCAGGGGGGCACTTAGAGGAGAGAGGGGGCCCTCTCCTGGCGCCCCCATCCTGTGCGTCGGCTGCCGGCTTGGAGTGTGGTTGAGGTCCTTTCTAGGGGAGGAGAAGGGAGACAGGGAGAGGAGCTGGCTCAGTCAGCCTGGCCCGAGCCTGCCGCTGGCTGGAAGTGGCCCCGGGGCTGGTCGGTGTCCCCATCTGAGTACGGAGAGAGCAGTGAGGGGCCCAGGCCTGCAAAGACGAAAGAGAAATGACAAATGAAAAGATGAAAGAGAAATCAGCGGACAACCATAACCCCAACCCGTCTTCCCTTCCTGGGAGTTGAAAGCCTGGATGGCGAGGCAGGCCTGCCTGGATTCAAACAGTAGTGACATCTTGGGCACGTTCCACTCTCTGAACCTCTCGGGGATGTTCAGGGCTGCCGTGAAGAACCCGAGTCCAGAGCCAGATGCTCCCTAGTTGGAATCCAGGCATTGCTATTTATTTGCTGTGTGACCTGGGGCAGGTGACTTCACCTCTCTGTGCCTCAGTTTCCTCATCTGTAAGATGGGCTAATAACAGCACCTCTCTCTCAGGGCTGTAATGAAGAATCAATGAGTAAATCCATGGAAGGTGCTCTGAACCATAACTAGTACTGGTGAGAGTACAGCTAAGTCCGCTGTTGTTACTTGGGAAACCAGGATACTCACACCTACTTCATTTATGGGAATTTACTCATTCAAAACATTTTTGCTGTTGGGCGCAGTGGTTCATGCCAATAATCCCAGCACTTTGGGAGGCTGAGGCGGGTGGACTGCTTGAACTCAGGAGTTCAAGACCAGCCTGGGCAACATGGCAAAATCTCATCTCTACAAAACACACAAAAATTAGCCAGGCGTGATGGCACATGCCTGTAGTCCCAGCTACTTGTGGGGGCTGAAGTCGGAGGATCACTTGAGCCCAGGAGGTTGAGGCTGCAGTGAACTGTGTTTGTGCCCCTGCACTCCAGCCTGGGTGACAAAGTGAGAATCTGCCTCAAAAAAAAAAAAAAAAAAAAAAACCAACACATTTACTGAGCATCTACTTTGTGTCCGGCACTGTGCCAGGTGCTAGCAACACAGCAGTGAACAGGATAGATGACACTCCCTGCCCCTACCTTTGTGAGACAGACATTCCAGTGAGAAGCGCCAACTGGATCAGGTACAGGAAGCTAGGCACAGTGCGAGTGCTTAAATCTTAGCTCCTCATTCACAAATATGTGCAGAGAACCCCCTCTGTGCTCGGCCACCACCCACCCATGCGCACAAAGAAGAATATTGCAGGGACCAAGATAGCCCCGGCCCCTGCCTTTGAAGGTCTCATACCCAAAGGAGAAGACAGACAGCAATCAAATGATGACCCAGAGGCCTGTGTAATTATATTATGGAGTGTTATAAGCCATGAGCATATGAAGTGAGGGAGGGCTTTGTGGAAGGAGTCATATTTGATCCGAGATCTAAAGGATGTGGTAACATGGCACAGAACAGAGGGAAAAGTATTCCAGGCAGAAGGAGCAGGATATGCAAAGGCCCTGAGGCAGCCTCCTCCATTGTGATGACTTTAAAGCCATCACATCATCCCACAGAGGCTCCATGCAGTCAACCCTCACCTTTCTCTCCTCTCTGCTTCAGCTACACTGGTCTTTCTTTTCCCCAAGTAAGACAGATACAGCCAGGCACAATCCCAGCACTTTGGGAGGCTGAGGCAGGAGGATCACTTAAGCCCAGGAGTTTGAGACCAGCTGCCCAGCATAACAAGACCTCTTTCTCTACAGAAATTAAAAGATTAGCCAGATGCGATGAAGTGCATTTGTAGTCCCGGCTACACGGGAGACTGAGCTGGGAGGATCACTTGAGCCCAGGAGTTCAAGGCTGAAGTGAGCTGTGATTGCACCACTGTGCTCCAGCCTGGGCAGCAGAGCAAGATATAGTTCTCCCACTCCCAAAAAGACAGATACGGTCCCCGCCTAAGGGCCTTTGGACTTGCCACTATCTCTGCCTGGGACACTCCTCCCCCGATATCATCAGGGCTCACTCCACGTTTGCTCAACTATCACCTTCTCAATGAAACCACCCTGATCATACTCCTTTTTTTTTTTTTTTTTTTTTTTTTTTTTTTTTTTTTTTTTTTTTTTTTTTTTTTTTTTTTTTTTTTTTTTTTTTTTTTTTTTTTTTTTNTTTTTTTTGAGACAGAGTCTTGCTCTGTCATCCAATCTGGAGTGCAATGGCGCGATCTTGGCTCACTCCTCTGTCTCCTGGGCTCAAGCAATTCTCCTGTCTTAGCCACCCGAGTAGCTGGGATTACAGGTGCCCACCATTGCACCTGGCTAATTTTTGTATTTTTGTAGAGACAGGGTTTCGCCATCTTGGTCAGGCTGTTCTTGAACTCCTGACCTTGTGATTCGCCCACCTCAGCCTCCCAAAGTGCTGGGATTACAGGCGTGAGCCACTACGCCTGCCAATTTTTGTATTTTTAGTAGAGATGGGGTTTTGCCATGTTGGCCAGGCTGGTTTTGAACTCCTGACCTCAGATGATCCACGCAACTCAGCCTCCCAAAGTGGTGGGATTACAGGCATGAGTCACCACACCTGGCCTGTTTATTCGTTTAAATAGAGACAGGGGCCTGAGTGGTGGCTCATGCCTGTAATCCTAGCACTTTGGAAGATCAAAGTGAGTGAGCTGCTTGAGCTCAGGAGTTCGAGACTAGCCTGAGCAACGTGGTGAAACCCTATCTCTACTAAAAATAAAAAATAAAAAAATAGCTGAGGGTGCTGGTGCCCACCTGTGGTCCCAGCTACTCGGGTAGCTGAGGTGGGAGGGTCGCTTGAGCCAAGAGACACAAAGGTTGCAGTGAGCCGAGAATGACAGAGCAAGAACCTGTCTCAAAAAAAAAAAAAAGAGAAAAAGAAAGAAAATGAAAATGTGAAAATAAATAAATAGAGACAGGGTCTCGCTCTGTCACCCAGGTTGGAGTACAGTGGGGCAGTCACAGTTCACTGCAGCCTCGAACTCCTGGCCTTAAGCAATCCGCCCATCTCAGCCTCCCAAGAAACTAGGACAACAGGTGTGTTCCACCACACCCACCTGGTTTTTAAAAAATTTTGGTAAAGACCGAGTCTTGCCGTGTTTTCCAGGCTGGTCTCTAACTCCTGGTCTCAAGTGATCCTCCCCTCTATCACCTCCCAAGGCATTGTGACTACAGGAATGAACCACTTGCCCAGCTCTCTTGGACTCTTTTTTTTTTTTTTTGAGGCAGGGTCTCGCTCTGTCGCCCAGGCTGGAGTGCGCTGGCACCATCGTAGCTCACTGCAGCCTTGAACTCCCAGGCTCAAGCAATCCTCCTGCTTTAGCCTCCGGAGTAGCTGGGACTAAAGGCATGCACTACCGTGCCCAGCCAATCAAAAAAAAAAAATTTAGGCCAGGAGTGCTGGCTCATACCTGTAATCTCAGCACTTTGGGAGGCCGAGGTGGGTGAATCACCTGAGGTCAGGAGTTCAAGACCAATCTGGCCAACATGGCAAAACCCCATCTCTACCAAAAATGCAAAAATTAGCCAGGTGTGGTAGCATGTGCCTGAGCACGAGGCTGAGGCAGGGGAATCGCTTGAACTCAGGAGGCGGAGGTTGCATTGAACTGAGATTGCGCCAGTGCACTCCAGCTTGGGTAACAGGGCATGACTCCATCTCAAAAAAAAAAATTATTTTTTTTAGTAGAGACAAGGTCTTGCTATACTGTCCAGGCTGGTCTCAAGCTCCTAGCCTCAAGCGATCCTCCCACTTTTGACTCCCGAAGTGCTGGGATTACAGGCATGAGCCAGGTGCCCAGCCTCCCTCTTACACTCTTTCTCATATTTGTTTCTTTTTTTTTTTGAGACATTGTTTCATTCTTGTTGCCCAGGCTGGAGTGCAGTGGTGCGATCTCGGCTCACTGCAACCTCCACCTCCCGGGTTCAAGCGATTCTTCTGCCTCAGCCTCCCATGTAGCTCGGCTTACAGGCATGCGCCACCACGCCCAGCTAATTTTGTATTTTTAGTAGAGACGGGGTTTCTCCATGTTGGTCAGGCTGGTCTCAAACTCTCAACCTCAGGTGATCCACCCACCTTGGCCTCCCAAAGTGCTGGGATTACCAGCATGAGGCACTGTGCCTGGCTCTTGTACTGGTTTCTTTGTTACGGTCTGTCTCCTGCACTAGAATGTCAGCTCCACAAGGGCAGAGATTTCTATGCATTTTGTTCACAACCTGTCCCCAGCCCCTAGAACTATGCCTGGTGCTTACTGCATGCTTTATAAATATTTGTTACACGCATGAAGGAATGAATAAACTGAAAGACAGTGGCTGCGCCTGAAACAGAGCACAGTGTGGTCCAAGACGTAGCAGAGACCAGACCCTGCAGGGATCTAAGTTCAAGCCAGGAGCTTGATCTTTCTTTGAAGGGCACTAGGGAGCCATGGAAGGACTTTGAGCAGAGGAGGGCTAGGGTCAGATTTAGGCTCTGAAAAGATTCCTCTGGTTGATATATGGAGGTTTCAAGTGAAGCAACGGCTTTTGATAGTTGCACTGTAAAATGACAGCTTGTCTCATGCTCTGTGGAGGGGCTGTGGGAAGCACCATCACCACGATAGCCACACGGCAGACATTTCCTTTAAAACTTTTTTTTTTTTTTAACATCTAAAAACATTTTTAAAGGCCGGGTGTGGTGGCTCACACCTGTAATCCTAGTGCTTTAGGAGGCTGAGGCAGGCAGATCACCTGAGGTCAGGAGTTCGAGACCAGCCTGGCCAACATGGTAAAACCTCGTCTCTACTAAAAGCACAAAAATTAGCCGGGTGTGGTGGTGCACACCTGTGATCCCAACTACCTGAGAGGCTGAGGCAGGAGAATCACTGGAACCCAGGAGGTGGAAGTTGCTGTGAGCTGAAATTGTACCACTGCATTCTAGCCTGGGTGACAGAGCAAGACTTTGTCTCAAAAATAAATAAATAAATAAATAAATGGTAATAAAGTGTGATTATAGGCATGGAGGCTCCAGAGATCTAGTCTCGGGCCGGGGCTTGGCTTCCACCCCAAAGGGCAGCCTTGGAGAGCCTCTGCCTCCCTTAGGGTCTCTATTCCCCCCTCCTCCACAGTGCCCATGAGAAGAGAGAAGAGACAGGAGCTGTCATTTCCACCAAGGTCATCTCCAAGCACTGATAGTCCCCCAGCACCTTTGGAATAGCTCCATCCCTCTTGTACCTCCTAGGGGAGAGGTTGCTACTCACCCAGGGGCTCATTCATGTCCAGGAGGGGGGTGCTGGGCTCCTGCAGGCTCCCTGGGGCTGGTCCTCCTGTCAGAAGGAAACTCTGTGGGAGAGAGGGACAAAACCACCACCACCATTACCATCATCGGTATCCCAGCCATAGCTGGGCGTGGTGGCTGTAATCCCAGTACTTTGGAAGGCTGAGGCGGGAGGATCACTTAAGCCCAAAAGTTTGAGACCAGCCTGGGCAAGACGGTGAGATCTCATCTTTACCAACAATTTAAAAACTAGCTGGGTGTGGTGGCACGTGCCTGTAGTCCCAGTTACTTAGGAAGCTGAGGTGAGAGGATTCCGTGAGGCCAGGAGTTTGAGGTGACAGTGAGCTATGATAGCATCACTGCATTCCAGTCCGGGTGACAGAGACCCTATCTCTAAAAAAAAAATAACAAAAATAAAATAAAATAAATAAATAAAAAATAAGGCCAAGCACAGTGGCTCATGCCTGTAATTCTAGTGCTTTGGGAGGCCAAGGTGGGAGGATCACTTGAGGTCAGGAGTCTGAGATCAGCCTGGGCAACATAATGAGACCCTATCTCTACAAAAAAATTTAAAAATGAAAGAAGCCGAGCACGGTGGCTCATGCCTGCAATCCCAGCACTTTGGGAGGCTGAGGTGGGCAGATCATTCAAGGTCAGTTGTTCAAGACCAGCCTGGCCAACATGGTGAAACCCCGTCTCTACTAAAAATACAAAAATTAGCAGGGTGTGATGGTGCATGCCTGTAATCCCAGCTACTTGGGAGGCTGAGGCAGGGGAATTGCTTCAACCTGGGAGGAGGAGGTTGTAGTGAGCCAAGGTCATGTCACTGCACTCCAGCCTGGATGACAGAGTGAGACTCCATTGAAAGAAAGAAAGAGACAGAGAGAGACAGAGAGAGAGAAAAAAAAAAGAGAAAGAAAAAAGAAAGAAAAGTGAGAGAAAGAGAAGAAAGGAAGGAAAGGAGAGAGGGAGGGAGGGACGGAAGGAAAGAAAGAAGGGAAGAAGGGAAGAAGGGAGGAAGGGAGGAAGGGAGGAAGGGAGGAAGACCCAGGGACAAGATGGTGCAGTGGTTAAGGGCTGCTGGGGTCCAGTGGCCACCTGTCAGGGGTGTGCCTTTGGGTCAGTCCCTGTCCAATCATCCTACCTGTGTTCCTCCAGAGCCTTGTTCCCCCTTCTCCTTCTTCCTCCCTGCCCAAGGACCTGTGCACAGGGACTGTAACAGCCTGCAACTTTGCTCCGTGTGTTCCTGTTGGTGAGCTCACGGGAGACACCAGCAGGTGGGTATTCATTCTTCTCTGCGAGTTGGTGGTGTCCCTCCATGGAAGGTTTCAGCCCAAATTAGCTGGACTTCACCTGCCACAGGATCCGGTGACCACCCCACCCTGCACCTTCAGGCCAGGGCTGGTGCCCACTTCGCATGCGTGCCCCAGGGTACTGTACCAGCCTTGTTGGTTTCCCTGCGCTATGTTAACACCTTTTCCAACAGTCCTGTTATTAAATTCTCCTCAACACTCCATCTGACTGTGCTACCTTTCCTGCGCAGACTCTGATAGTCGTTTAACTTCTTCTGTGTAAATGTGTGTAACAGTAACAAGAATATTTCAATAGCTGTTGTGAGGATTAAATAAGTTAATCATGCAAGGAATTTAGTGCAGTCAGTGTCTGGTACATGGTAGGCACTTAAAAAGTGTAAGCTGTCATAAATGTATATACACATGTAATACATAACAGACATATAACATATACCATGAGATATAACATAGACACAAATACACACACAAATATGTAAATATATATATTTTGTATATATAAATAAAAATATATATTAAAATATATATTTAAATATAAAAATTATATATATTATAATATATATAATATATTTTATATATTATATATATTTAAATATACATATACTTATATTTATATATTATTTATATATAAAATAGATATATACTTTATATATGTGTGTGTATGTATGTGTATATATGTGTGTATATGTTATATCTGAGACAGAATGTTACTCTGTCCTCCAAGCTGGAATGCAATGGCACGATCTTCGCTCACTACAACCTCTGCCTCCCGGGTTCAAGCAATTCTTGTGCCTCAGTCTCATGAGTAGCTGGGGCTACAGGTGCGCACCACCACTCCCAGCTATAATGTTTGTATTTTTAGTAGAGACAGGGTTTCACCATGTTGGCCAGGCTGGTCTTGAACTCCTGACCTTAAGTGATCCTCCCGCCTCATCCTCCCAAAGTGCTGGGATTACAGGTGTGAGGCATTGCATCTGGCCTGTAAACTGTTATATTATCAACCACATCTCATATTCAAACGTTTGCAGAGCAAAGAACCAAGGCACTGCTGTTAAGCACTAGGGAGCCATGAAAGGTCCTAGAGGGAGGCCTTGCAGAAGTGACATAGTCCGGGCTGGCTTTTTTGTTTTTAATTTTTTGAGACAGGGGCTGTGCTGTCACTCAGGCTGGAGTGCAGTGGCACGATCACAGGCTCACTACAGCCTTGACCTTCCAGGCTCGGGTGACCCTTTCACTGCAGCCTCCTGAGTAGCAGGGACTACAGGCACATGCACCACACCTGGTTAACTTTTTAATTTTAATTTTTTTTTTTTTGTAGAGATGGCATCTCACTATGTTGCCCAGGCTGGGCTCGAACTCCTGGGCTCAAGTGATCCTGCTGCCTTGGCTTCCCTAAGTGCTGGGATTATAGGCGGGAACCACTGCACCTTGCCCAGGCTTTTAAAAAGGGTACTGTGGTTGCTGTCATGCAGAATGAATAGATGAGGAGAGACAGGAGGAGGGACACTGTGGGGAGGCTGCTTTTGTTTGGTTTGTTTGGTTTTTTGAGACAGAGTTTTGTTCTTTGTTGCCCGGGCTGGAGTGCAGTGGCACAGTCTCGGCTCACTGCAACCTCTGCCTCCTGGGTTCAAGCGATTCTCCTGTCTTAGTCTTCCAAGCAGCTGGGATTACAGGTGCCCGCCACAACACCCGGCTAATTTTTGTATTTTTAGTAGAGACGGGGTTTCATCATGGTTGGCTAGGCTGGTCTTGACCTCCTGACCTCAGGTGATCCGCCCACCTCGGCCTCCCAAAGTGCTGGGATTACAGACGTGAGCCACTGAGCCCAGCCATTTGGTTTGTTCTTGTACACCACACTGAATGTTTATATCATGGCAGTCCCCTGAGATATAAACATTCCCACTTTCTGGATGAGGAAACTGAGGCTCGATGTGGTGATGTCACCTGCCCAAAGTCTCACAGTTACTGGGTGGCAGACCTCGGACTTGAACGCAGGTCAGTCTGATTCTAGTGTCTGTACTTTGAACTCTGCACTAGTAATCCGAAGCCACGACCTGTTCTAGTTTCGGGAGGGTGTCCCACGGGAACAGAGAGAAGATTCCTGCAGATATCAACCACATGCCACGTCTCCCCTTATCCTGTTTCATTTTCCTTCTTTGCACTTACCACGAATATATATATATATATTTTTGAGACAAAGTCTCACTCTGTCGCTCCGGCTGGAGTGCAGTGGCACGATCTGAGCTCACCGCAGAGCTTTTTAGTATGCATTAGTGAAACTAGAAGATCAGGCCCCAGCCTAAGCCGGCCTGTTGATCTTCTGTATGATTCTCAACCAGCCTGTGCCCCTCTCTGGTTTCCTATTTATAAAACAGGAGATTTATGCCAGCTAGCTAATGAGGGCCAGAGAATCCCATTAATCCCCCAACACACCAGGCTGAGGGGAAACAGCAGAAAGTTTCCGGGTTCTGGGCTGGGGCATCTTTTGGGAGGTCTCACTCCCAGCAGCTCCACTCCCTCGTCCTCGCCTTCTGAGCTCTGGGCCAGGGTCCTGGAGGAAAACAGGCAAGAATCTCAGGACACAGCAAACCTGGGCAAGAGTGGGTCACAGTGTAAGCAGGTGATAAGCATTTGTTCACTCCCTTGAGCACCTGTTATTCCTTTACTCATACACCCACCAGTCCATCCATCCATCCACTGATCCTTCTTCTCATTTATCCAATAATCCATCCCTCAGCTTCCATCCATCTATCCTTCCATTCATCCACCTATTTATCCACCTAGTTGTCCTCCATCTATCCATCCACGCTTCCGTACACCCAGCCATCCGCCATCCACCATCCGTCCATCCATCCATCCATCCATCTGCTGTCCATCCACCAACTATCTCCCATCCATCCATCCATCCATCCACTGTCTATCCATCATCCATCCAACTATCTCCCATCCATCCATTCACCATTCATCAATCTACCATCCATCCATTCATCCATCCACCATCCATCCATTCATCCATCCATCCATCTGTCCATCTATCCATCCATCTATCCATCCATCTGCCATCCATCCATTCACCATTCATCCATCTACCAATCCATCTTCTCATTTATCCAATAAACCATTACCCACCCCCCCCAAATAACCTCCATTCATCCACCTATTTATCCACCTAGTTGTCCTCCATCTACCCATCCATCCTTCTATCCACCCAGTCATCCATCCATCCATCCATCCATCCATTTGCCATCCAACCACCATCCACCATCCATCTATCCATCCATCCATCCATCCATCTATCCATCCATTGATCCATCCATCCATCCATTAATCCATTCATCCATCCTTCCTTCCTTCCAGCCACCCATCAACTCATTGATCCATCCATCCTCTGTCTACTCATTCATCCATCCATCCACATGTACATACATACACCCTTTTATCTATACATCCATCCATCTGTCCTTCCATCTACCCCTCCATCCAACCACCTGTCCACCCATAGAAGTGACAACAATATTCATTAATAATTCCCTCCCTCGCTCATTTTGAAAGTCTTTATCAGGCACCCACTTTATAGCCAGCAATAAGCTGGGAGCCTTGGGAGATACCAAGATGTATCCATAAAAGCCTTAAAAGGATAGTACAGAAACCACTCTGGATTCCAGGTAAGCACATACTTGCAACTTAGTTCTAGACAGTTTCTTTTCATTTTCCCTCCCTCCCTTCTTTCCTTCCTCTCTCTCTGTTCTCTCTTTCTTTCATTTTTTTTTTTTTTTTTTTGGACAGGGTCTCACTGTTGCCCAGGCTGAGGCAGTGGCACAATCCCAGCTCACTGTAGCCTTGAACTCCTGGGCTCTAGTGATCCTCCTACCTCAGCCTCCCAAGTAGCTGGGACTACGGGCATGCATCACCACACTCAGGTTAGACAGTTTCTCTGACATGGTGGCAAAGTCTTCTAAACTCTGACGAAAATTATCACTAGATCAGATGTAACTATGTTCCAAAGGAGAGAGCCCTCCCTGGTTGAAAGGTGGGATTTGGATAAACAGTGAGAGCAGTGGAGGGCACTCCAAAGGCATAGAGATGGGCATAAACTTGGAGCATGCTGGGCCCACTGAGGGCCTGGCTGGAGCAGAGATCAGGGTTAGAGAAATGCTGAGAGATGAGGCTGAGGCAGGAGGCAGGGGCAAGATGGGGTGAGGGGATGCTCCCTTGACGTCCCCCCTTTATTGCGGCTCACCTCTTCCGAGCCCCAGCCATGAGAGAGGATGCGGAGGGGTCACCTCTGGAAGGGCTGGAGCAGCTCAGCCGGGGGTCACTCCCCCAGCGGGGCAGCAGGGAGGACTCAAAGGCTGGAGGTGACAGGCCATGGAAGCTCTGAGCACGGGGCCGGGGGACAGCCCCCGGAGGTCTGTGGTAGGCCCTGGGTAGCTGTTCACTGGCGTTGAGCTGGAAGTCATCATCCATGGAGATGTAGGGGGCCAGCATCTCCAAATCCAGAGCGTCAGCATCCTGTGGAGGGCAGGAGGGAATTAAGAGCATGAGCCTTGGACTTGGGTGGACCTAGGCTGAAGTCGTCACACCACCACTTCTGAGTTCTGTGCCTGTGGCCAACAGCCTGAGCTTCAGTTTCCTCATCTGTAAAATGGGTATAAGGACTCTCTGAAGAGCATGTTAGAGAAATCCCAAATTGAGTCAGAGGCATGGTATCTCACACCTGTAATCCCAGAGCTTTTAGGAGGCTGAGTCGGGAGAATCACTTGAGGCTAGAAGTTCGAGACCAGTCTGGGTAACAGAGCGAGACTTCTATCTCCACAAAAAAGAAAAAAATTAGCCAGGTGTAGTGGCCCATGCCTGTAGTTCTAATTATTCAGGCGGCTGAGGCGGGAGAATTGTTTGAGCCCAGGAGTTTGAGATTGCAGTGAGCCATGATTACACGATTGCAGTCTAGCCTGAGTGACAGAGTGAGACACTGGAAAGAAAGAAAGGGCTGGGCGTGGTGGTTCATGCCTGTAATCCCGGCACTTTGTGGGCGGATCACGAGGTCAAGAGATCGAGACCATCCTGGCCAACACGGTGAAACACCGTCTCTACTAAAAATACAAAAATTAGCTGAGCTCGGTGGCGCACACCTGAGGTCGCAGCTACTCGGGAGGCTGAGGTGGAAGAATTGCTTGATCCAGGAGGTGGAGGTTGCAGCGAGCCGAGATTGCGCCACTGCACTCCAGCCTGGTGACAGAGCAAGACTCCGTCAAAAAAAAAAAAAAAAGAAAAAGAAAGAAAGAGAGAGAGAAAGAAAGAAGAAAGAAAGAAAGAGAAAGGAAGGGAGAAATAAATCCTAGATGCCTCAAAGAAACCATAGGTCAAAATCCGAATATTAAGAAAGCTCAGAGAGGGATTACAAAGAAGTGAGAAACATATTACTGAAAACCAGAGGAAAGAGAATGTTTATCCTGCAGTGGCCAAAAGATTAGCAACACTGTTGCCTGCAGTGACGTGGAAAGTAGAAAATATAACAAATACACCAGGTAATGCAGCTAAGATTTCCAGCCAGAGTGTTGGAGAGGCTGCCTGATTTCTTCTTGTTACTTATAGTAAAAGGCAAGAGGAGAGAGAGAGAGAGAAGGAATATTTCTCCTAAAGGAAGAAATGTTAAACATGAAAGAGAGAGGACTTGAAGGTTTCGAAGATTCTCAACCTCCTCGTGTAGTGAATAATTAACTTTACCCAAAGCGAGGTCTGGTTTTTGTCCCAGCTCCTGGAAGGGAACCTCTAAACCTTTGGAATTTCCTGAGTGATAGCGGTGTCTTTGCTGTTCACTGTGTCCTCTGGATAGTTCATGCTAACCAGCTGACTCATGGCGAACCCCTAGGTAGTTTATGCTGATGAGATAACTCAGGATGGAGGCTGACCATGCAGAAAGAACAACCATGTGATTAAAGAGTTGGGGCTTTGGTCCACACAAAATCAGCCTGATCCAGGGAAGGTAGGGGTGGCACTGGAGACTGAATTCAAGGACATGGACAGCAATTTGCTCAATCATGCCTGTGCAGTGAAACCCCAATGAAAACTCTGAACACTGATGCTTTGGTGAGCTTCCTGAGTTGGCATTGCTCTGCACATATTGCTACATATCAATGCTGGAAGGATAACATGTCCCTGAGGACAAGAAAACTTTCCATTTGGGACCCTCCAGTCCCAGATTCCAGCTATGAATATTTTCCTTTGTCTGTTTCTGATTTGTATTCTTTTGTTATAATTAAGCTACAATCCTAAGTATTGCACTTTCTGACTACGATGAACACCTCTAGCAAGTTATCAAGCCTGAGGGAATCTACAGGAGTCTGGGTATCTCCACATTGGTGGGCAGCTGGTCTAACGCGAGGGTGGCCCTGGGGACCTTCAAACTTGTGGCTGATGTCAGAAGTCTTGGGCAGACTTGGTGGTCAGGAGAACCATGCCATTAACCTTGAGCTTGGTTGACTGCAGGAGCCCTCAGATGGCAAATGATGCTAATATTA